ATTTTATTACTCGTACGAGTAATAAAATTATTGAACGATAGTAATTATCGTTGGCCAAATTATCACTTATCAGTATTAAATTTCTATAAGGGCAGCGGGATGTCGTCAGCTCCGAATAGAACGTCGTCAACATAATGCAATGGCTAGCGGAAAAGCGTGACCTTCATCCCGAAAGAGTTGTTTAAGGACGCGAAGAGCGAGAAAGGGCGCAGGTACGGTCCCGTAAGTGACGGTAAGGAGCTGAACTCAGCAGTCGGTAGTGTCTCGCTAGGAGCCCAGAGGATCCGCTGATAATTCGCATCACAAGGATCGATCAGAATTTGGTGGTACATTTTTGCGATGTCAGCACTCATTACGTATTTGTGAGTACGCCAGCGTAAAATCACTGCCGCAAGGTCTGTTTGCAGTTTAGGACCGGGAAGCAAATAGTCGTTGAGAGAAGTTGTATTTGAGCTAGCGCATGATGCGTTGAATACAACTCGCAGGTGAGTAGTACTGCTGTGTTCACGCAGAACTAGGTGGTGCGTTATGTAAACGCATTGGGTGGTTTGACTATCGGCACCGTCGACCCGCCGCATATGACTGAGCTCCTCGTATTCCCGAATGAAACTAATGTATTCGGAAGCGAGAGATGGTTGTGTTTTCAACCTGCGATGCAGTTGACGTAGCGACCGTTTGGCAATGTGTCGAGAAGCACTGATGTCGGTCGGAAGCCCTTTTCTAAAGGGAAGGCGAACTACGTAACGTCCGTTGGGAGCTCGTGAATGCGTGGTCACGAAATGATCCTCGCAGAGCTGCTCCTTAAGACTGAGAGCGAGTCTGCGAGGAACCTCCTCTACTTCCAAAAATCTACGAAGTTCTTGGTCCAGAGCGACCGAAGTCGTGCAATGGACATGAACTCGCGACTCGAGTTGAGCTTGACAAGAGAACGGACCGGAGAGAATCCACCCGAAGATTGTGTTTTGAGCGACAAGTTGTCCGGCTTTCCCTTTCCTTACTCCCATCGAGAATTACGTCACGATATAGATCCGAATCTATAAGCAGGTCGATCGAATCTGAATGAAAGAAACCAGCGTCCGCCAACGTCAAATCATTAAGATGCTTCCACCTCCCATCGGAACAAGCTTGAACTGGCGCGTAACGCGTCAGCGTCGTGTGAATTGAAGCGGTAGCAGTTAGAACGGGACTTGCTCCGTCGAGCGACAAGATGAGAATGCGAGCAGCGTGGCGGCAAGCTCCGGCATCAATTCCGCCGACAACGGAAATCGTGAGAGATTGTTTTATTCGAGGCAATCTTAATACTTGCTGTAGCCTTTCGGTTATAAACGTGATTTCCGACCCCTGGTTGATGAAAGCGCGAACTACGTACGACCGTCCCGAAGGAGCGCTTACTCGGACACGCTCTGTCGCGAGTAGAATGCTGGAGTGATTCGAGCGTACTGACGAGAGCAATGCGATAGAAGGCGAACTGTCGCCGTTCACTCGCGAACCGGTGGATACATCAAACGTCGACGCGAGAGCGGAAGAGCGCGAGTCAACATGCAACATTGTATGGTGTCACTTATTGCACGTTCGACACGTATACTTGCTTGGACACGTGTCGATCAAATGCTTTGAGTTTAAGCAATTAATGCATCTATTTATTTGCTTGATCAGCTCGAGGCGTTGATTCGGACTCTTCCAAACGAAAAGAGAACACTTATTTATAAAATGCGACGCTTTACATAATACGCATGCACTCTTTGAGACGTCAACCGCGGTCGTGTTTGAGAATCGCGTCGGGCGAATCGGTTTACTAACGCCTGGAGACGGTAACTCCTCGAGTGCGCGAGCTCGCGAAGCGATGAACCGGTCAAATTCGGCAAAGTCTGAATGTCCGACTCTTCGGCTCCTCTTAATTTCCACGTTCGGCGCGTGGTAGAATCTAATTGTTGCGAAACGGTAAATACAAGAATATCGCTGAAAATATCATGGGATGATCGACCCAAATTTCTAAGCGAACCGATAGATCGATTCGCTTTGTCTCGCAAGTTATTTAATTCGACCGCCGACTCACGAGATACCGTAGGCAGATTTAAAGATTTGCTACATAGATGTCGACTAATCAACGTTTGTTTTCGTATCGGAACGCCAATGCTTTCCACGCTATTTTGAAGTTATCTGCTGTGACCGGAATGTTCTTAATGGCTTCGAGTGCGGCGAAATTCGACGACAAAAAACGCATTCGAGCAAAATCGGACAAGTCCTTATTATTAACAATTAACGAAATAAAACGGTCCCGAAATCTTTCCCATTCCTCGAACTTGCCGGAAAATTGCGGGAGGTTAATTAGCGGCAGATGCGACAACGAAAACAACGGCGCGGAATCGCAATGTCGCGACATCGCTATCGGCATAGATTGTTGCGGACTCACACTCGGCTCCAACTCGTCGAGACAATCCGCCATGTAGTCCAATGTAGACTGGACCACGTCAACCGCGACTTCGAAATGTTTCATCTTGAAGTAATCGAGCGATTCTCTGTTTGCCTCCGGAGTGGCGTGCATCAGGGTGGCGTGAACTTGGATGCACTGCGCCCACGTGTTCTTGAAAGAGCCCATTCTCGAGCGAATCTTCGCAGGAATGTAATTTTTTTTCCCGATCTTTTTGAAATTGTCGAGCGCTCACTCGATGATTCGCAGCAACGACTGCTGCTTGTGATAGAGTTCAGACATTGCCACTCCCTGATCTCAAGTCCAGTACTGATCGCAAAATAGCTATCACACAAACGTCGCCTCTGATCCGACTCGAAGGACCAAATGTTTGCTCGCGAAGGAACGAGTAAAATTTTGCTCGGTGCAAGCTGAAAGCCGGGATCACTCTGGGCCGGCGCAAGGAAACGACGGAAACGGAACGAGTGGGAATGTGCGGAACGTCTAGAGCGATTAGCAGAATGGGAACTGAGGAATGGAGAAGTCGTTGAGAGCACGGTGCAATGATAAAACTGTATGAGGCGTTTGAATCTCTTTTTCGTAAAGTTTAATTTCACCTTGAGATAACTAAAACCGGAATAAACAATGTCGCAATCACCGGTTCAGTCGGCGAACTCTCCAATCTAACGCGAGAACGGGAGGCCGATAGATTGACAACCAATCAGCAGCGCTTACGATGAGGCAGAAGTCCGTTACGAGTGATTCTTGGATCCATCCAAAATGCCGTAATTATCCGCCCAGATAGCCAAACCTGTGCGAGCAGATTTTACGCAGAGTCTGTCAA